GATGATCTCCGCACCTCCATTGATTTTGGCCTGTTCCCAGAAAAAAAAGTAAATTCCACTTCGTGTAACTATGATGATGACAGTGCCACAAATCACAAGATTGGAAGATGTGATGAAAGGAAAGAAACAGGGCAGGACAACAAGCGCTGTTCCACTGGTTTTCATGACAAATAAAATTGTAGGTTGTTATGCTGTGTTCTCTCATTCAATTTGTGTCCTAACATTTGTCGTCCCTTAGTATATTTCAAATCTAGGCACGTTGTCTTTTTCTGCCCTTCTTGTTTTTTTTGCACTTTCACATTAGATCTAGGGTCTTCAGAGGATGTCATCCATAAAAATTACTTGGTGTGGCCTTAAATAACATAGCGTGATGTAGATTCTGAGGATGATCAGTCCTAGATACCTCCCCTTCAGCTATGTTGTTGTAAAGGTTATCCTGACATTGATTTGTGACAGGCTGTCGTGTCCCATCACAGGTCATTGACTTTGATATTTGGATGCCCTGACGTTCCCAGCGTGGCAGCTGGCCTGAATCCAGAAGTATTTTCCCTCTGGCCACAACTGGCTGCCTGTATGAGTTTGTGCCATTATCTGACTGATTCATCAGACTGACTGACAGAACCATATTTATCACAACCACTGGTGCATATAACCTGGATGTTATTTGGACTGGTCAAACATTTAATGAGCCAGGGATGTCAACATATCAAAGACATGTATCACATTCATCATACTAAATTATTGCATTACAAAATCCTTCAATAGCTAAATTTGTGTGTTATTGTAATATCATGTCTTTACTTGGTGGCAAATGTGTCATAGTTGTCTTGAAGTCTTTCCTTCATTTAAAGACATCTACAACAGTACATATTTAACTATCCTAGGCCCTGTGTAAAATGACATCTGTTCTTGGTATTGAATACATTGTTTCCTTGTACTAAATGGTTCACAACAAAAAGTATCTCTACTTGTTTTCCTTGCATTGAATGGTGTCACAACCAGATATCTGTCCTTGGTGCTGAATAGTGTTCACACTTGTTTTTCCCTTTGCTGAATATTGTCACAATGATGAGGCATCTCTCCTTGGTACTGAAAGTGTTCACACTTGTTCTTTCTGTTCTGAATGGTTTCACAATCTAGTATCTGTCCTTGGTACTGAAAGTGTCCACTCTTCTTCTTCCTATTCTGAATTGTGTCACAATCTGGTATCTGTCCTTGGTAGTTGTTCATCCATGTTTTTCTTTTAACTGAATTGTGTCCTCACTAACTTCTGTAGAAGAATAAGAGTTGTAAAAAGTTGAAAGTGCCAAACTGTTATGCAGCATAATTCAAACTGCTCTTGTGCTTAAAATAAAACACAGTAGTTGCTATTCATGCCTCGTAGTCCAAAATTGAGTCATACACGGAGGTGAAAGTTGCTTTAGCATGAGGATAAATTTGCCGCCGTGCATGTTAGTGCCATCTCATAAATCTGATGTTAAAGAGCGATAAACCACGGCGACACAGCGGGGTCATGTTCCACTATGATGGATAACGATCCCATGAAATTACAGGCTGGCCCCGCTGTGCTGTCATCTTAGATGACAACCTTATTCTCACAAGAACACAAGGGCATGTAGCAGGTAGTAAGGTCAGTACTGTGTGAATGCACCAAGATACATTTCTTGACAAGGCATTTGTTTGTATAGCAAATGATATTTGGTGCTGTGCTGGTTGGTTTGATGTTTGCATTCTTACGTACAAAATTTTATATTTTGAAATATGAAGATTTTGAAAGCTTTGCTGTTGCTTTTATTTGGGGGTTATTGCCATTCATCACCATATCTCTTATTGAGGGTTCTCTTTCAAATTTCTGAGATATGCTAAGATACAAAATATGTAACATGGCAATAAAATTGATTAATAGAATGATGATTTTGAAACTTTTCTTTTTAATCAAAGTCTGTCATTCCTTTGTTTTCTTCTCTTTTTTTGTTGAGTATATATTTTTGTACTTTTAAGTTTCTTGATTTGTTGAACTTTCCAGACCTTTTCAATTGTTACAAACAACACAGAACATATCTGCACTTCATCAAAATGTTTGTTGATTGAATATTGCAATCTACAGCAGAAATTATCGTTCCTTATGGACCAAAGAAACACAGATCTATACCATGGTTTGTTGAGTATCATTAGTTTTGCACACCTTGTCTGATCAATAACTGTAATTGGACTTGGCGACTTTCCATACCTCCCAACTTGGTTTGAATGATGACTAGTCATATAGCTGCCTAATTAGCAGAAACTACCATGGCTGTGAGATCTACCCTTAAGCATGTTCTCAGTATCAGTGTGGGTCACTCACTCTTTAACTTACTTTCAAACTAGAGATCAATGGAACAGTGACTGTTGACCTTCTGTATCTGTATATTCTGGTAGAGCCATCCCTCAGAGTAACAGTACTAACACACTAGCTCCCAACTTACTCATTAGTGATGCTTTATGGGACTTGAATGTCTTGATTCACGATATATTTCACCTCTGTCTAGACTGTAGGACCATTCCTTGAATCAAGATGTACAGTATACATTGTACACTTCAATGTACATAATATTTAAGAAAGGCCCCTTTAAATGTGATCATGTTGAAGTTTTGGTCTGTGAGCTGATCGGTTGTGGCATTGTCTGTCTGTGTACTATAAATTTTCAAATTGTTGCAGTGTTTTTTTGGTGACTGCTCCCACAAACTCAAACGGTTTTCCATTGTGTTGTTTCTGTACAGCTATTTCAATTGGAAACTCAAAGATGGCAGAAACTCTTCACTTTGTAATACCCTGTTGTGGAATGAAAGTGCATCTTCAAATTGAAGTGACTTTGCCGTAGTCTCCTTGACATTCACATGTACATGACTTGTGAAAACCCCATTCAAATGCATTACCTTGTATTATGATAAAGATGTGATATTCAAGAGTAAAGTCAATAACGCCACAGCGCTGCCATGGCTGGAATATGTCATACAGATTCATCCCTTAAAGCACATAACACCATTTGGCACGCTACATGATTACCAGAAGTGATGCATTGGTCTGTCTACCAGCAACTGTGCTGTAATTGTCTCTATATTTGAGACCTTTATAGGATGTTTGGTTAGGAGCACTATATTATCAACCATGATATTATCTAGACTGAAAAATCTCTGTATGGGTTCATGTATTTTGCAGTTGAACAATGCCTTTTCCCTTTTGAAATCCCTTCAAGTTGTGGTTAATAGATGTTTGTTGGTGTATTCCCATCAACTATTCCCTTAAGTTCAGACCTTTCCTTTTAAAACTTGTTCAGAGTTGTGACTATCAATTGTTCCCCAGTCTTTGGTACAGAGAGAATATTTACTGTTATTTCTCCTCAAGGAACAGTTACTCTCTCAACATCAAACAAGACCATTCCCAGAAGAAAGTTGCAGTTTTATCTACAAGCAGTTAGACATTTGTAGACTGAACTGTCATTCATATCATCTGGTACCAAAGTGTGATAAAATATCAGATCTTCATTGATTTTCTACGGGTAATTAGCTCTTGGCACTTACAAAGTGCCTCTGATAAACGATGTGTATAGAGAGCTGGCACTTTTCCATATTGCTCCAAGGCAGCTGTAACGTGCTTTCATTTTAAGCCTCTTAACATTAACTTCCAAATTGAAGGGCAATGGGTTCTCCTCTTTTAAGCATTGTCTTAAAGCAGGGAATTTCCTTGAGAAAGATGAATGTTAATGTGTAAGGCTACACCAATTCAATGGTTTGGTTCTTGGATTTACCACATTGTTTTTTCTGATTTAAAAAAGATTATGATATGATAAATGCCATCATTCAGGATTGCAATAAACCTTAAGATGCTATTTTTCATCCACTGTTGCATCTTTAAAAAGTTAACAATTCCACAATTCATTGTTTGAACCCCTGGTGCATTGGCCGCCTGTGAAAGCATTTAGGTTTATTTCTTTCTAAATGTTATTTTACCTTCCCACTCCATTAACTTACATGTAACTCCTTTGGGTAGACCAGGGAATAAGTGACAAAGTTGTGGAACAGAATTTACATTAATTATAGAATTTACATTAATTATAACTCCAAGTGCTGTGCAGGTAATTACATATGAACTTGCCCTTTCCTTATTTTCCATATTTGGATCACTTATTATAATTACCCCTGTCACTGACAGACTGACAAATCGATGGTAGCGTCTGGGACTGACATGTATCTCTAATTAGCAGCTCCAGGCTTGGAAAATGATACAGACAGGGTAATCTGGAGCATATGAATTAGTCCCTTCTAGCTTTGTTTCATTGATGAATCATATCCCTCCTTGCCAAAAAAAGTTTTGATATCTGTAATATTTGTGTTATCAACATTGGCAATGTAGAGTTGAGTGGGGAAATAGTAACTAAATCGATGTAATAAAAGTCAAGAGATAGATGAAAAGCAAACATGCTGCAAGCTGGTGAGATATCAGACTTTAAATGAGAGGATTTCCATGTTATCTTTCTCACATGATAGAGTGCTGTCACTTGTAGGAAACTTGCAGAAGTTTGCAATTTTGGAAGCAATTTGGAGACTTGCCAAACACTCTGCTGTCAAGAAAGTCAATCAAACGTAGATTCCTCCGTTCCTAGTGACTGCTCCACTTCTAAAAAAACTGTATTTCTGCTACAGTAATCCTGTAGGGTTGTAGAATAATGAGCCGGAGTTGCAGTTATATTTAGGCAGACAGTATGATAGCAATGCCCTGCAGGGGAAGTACAATTGATAAGCCGCTACCCAGGTATCTCTCCTACTAAGGCTTGCTAATGAGGAAACAAACATAACCGTTGTTGAGCATACCTTTGGGAGTCGCACATACACAGCAACTAAACCAGCCTGGGGCAGCGGCAGACTGCATTGTGGGAGTTAACCCAGGTGCAGTACAATACTGTAACTGTATCTGAGGGCAGGGCTGTCTGTACATGAAGGATGGATGGTTTGTTGGCTCCACCTCGAAGGGGGAAAGTTGGTCCCGATTTTTAATTGGCCGGGCTGTCGATATAAAGACACCGCCGGGGACCGGGGACTTCAGATCAGATGGCGAGCTTCTCCAAGAGTGTGAAGCTGTACAAGGACATGTTTGGTTGCGCCTGTTCGGTAGACTACGGCCCGGCGAAAGAGCGTCCCGAGCCGAGTGGGTCAGATTTCTATGAGGCAACCAGTCTGACCGAGGGCCTGATGGGGATAGATTTTGAGGAGAAGGCGTACTGGAGAAAGGAGTTTCGCTATCCACAAGGTAGTCTAGTAGAATGGTAACTAGAATGGTAATTGACAGTTTCTACCAATATTCTTTCTCTTCTGATCCTATCTGAAGGGAAGGGTAGTGGATATTGTGGCAGTTATGGTCATAAATAGATTATTGTGTGGTATGTAACTTGAGAACACCATACTTACAGGACTGTCAATGCTTGAATTTTCGCTGTGTTTTCAGGTTCAATCATCACAGTACAAACAAATTTGTTCTGCCTTCCAGTGTGTTACCACCATTGTGTTGGCAGCAAACTCAGTGCCACAAAATTTAATTGTTTTCCTAGCTGTTCCCCACTGTTTTTACAGGTGGAAATAGCTTTCCATTTTGTTAGAAGATGAGAGAGAAGGACAATTCCTGCTTTGTTGCAAAATTGGTTCCAAGTAAAGATCATCAAAACCTGTCTCTTCTATTTTGTCATGCAGGGAAAGAAGAGAAGAAGAAATGGAAGGAGGAGCGTCTGGCGAGGAAGCTGGAGAAACAGATGGCTCGTCAGCAGGAGGAGGAGCAGAAACTCAAGCACCTCATGGACAAGAAAGCACATGCTGAGGAGGTCAGACGCAAGAAAGGTAACGTCTGCTTCAAGTGTAAAAGTAATAATGTGGCATGCAATGGTGAAACTTTGTTTTGTGCACTCAAAGAGAATGATACCATAGAAAACCATCTAATATTACATTCAGAAACCTGCAGAACTGTATGTCCTTACAAAAGGTGTAAAAATATATAGCTGGTGTGTTACGCCGAAGGGCAGGTATACTGGCTATACCAATACAAATACAGATAAAATAAAAGTCCCAGGACAGCCTTTTTCTGGGAATTTTGTCTGCCAAGCACATAATTTTGGCAAAGACTTTGAGTTGGCAATGTTCTTGCTGCTTTATTATTTTTCTGCCTCGTGTCCTATGTGCTTAGTTGCTATCACTAGTATGTGCTCTTGCCTATCCTCTCGCCTGTGATGTATCCAATGTAACTAATGGGCCCCTTGAAAATGAACATGTCAATGTTTAAGGAGCTCTCCAGCTGTTCTTTAAGATGAAGTAGCTAAGATATAGTTTATCACTATATTCTAGAGGGATCATAATTGGCTTATGGTTCTCCATCACACTTGGTGATTGTGGACACTCAGTAGGACTTAAAGCGCACTGTGGGTACCCTTACCTCCCAGGCAGGGGCTGTAAAGACAACTTTATTGGCCACCTGGAATGTAAAACCATCATTAACGGGGCTTCCTGCTGGGCCAAAGTAGATCTGTAACATGTTTCTCCCTTTATTTCACATCATTTGTACCATATAACAAGAGCATTATATAGCATTATGTAACATTATAGTTTAGCTTTGTTTTATAGGAAAGTCTACAATCTTTCTGGAGTCATGGACAGAATATTAATTTTAAAATTTGTAAAATCAGTCACAGTTCAGTTGAGAAAAAGGCAACAAAAACTTTTCTTACACTACTGATGTTTTGAATATAAAGATGAACAGGTTTTCAAAAACTGTTCTAAAATGGCATTCAAAAGAGTGGTCATTTATACAAAGCACAGGCCACCCTTGCATTTCCAATATTCCAGAGGCACCAAATGGCAAAAGACACTCCCCTGCACAAAAAAGATCAGGTTCCCATTAATATATTTCATAGCTAATAAAAGATGCAGAGGTTTTGGCTTGGCTTTTATTGATGACTATGTTCTATGGAGTCACCTTTATGAGCATGTCAAGGGCATGAGTAGATCATTTTATCATCGCTGTAGGTTTTTTAAACATCAATCAATCAAAGTACAAAATGTATGCCATTTGGAACTTAGGTTTTACATCAGAGCTTCATAAGAGAATTTCTGTAACTCCTTTAATTTCATTAGGATAAAGTAACCATATTTGTTGAGATTCTGGCATAGTTAGGCTTGATAAAAGATGACATACTATTATTAATATTATTCATAATTTTCCAAATGCATCTTTTCCCCCAAACTAAATATAATCTTGTTGGATCAAACTAACCTAAATACCAAATTACCCCTTGTTCCCTTAGCAAATGTACACCAAATGAGTACAATTTAAGTGGAAATGGGTTGTGTACACGTAGCCTTTAACTTCTGGATTTTGCCCCCTACCTTCAGGCCGTCACTACACTGTGAGTGTTGCTCTCCCAGGCTCCATCCTGGATAACGCCCAGTCTCCAGAACTCAGAACATACCTTGCTGGACAGGTAAGGAATTATACAAAAATGTACTACCAATATATTGTGCCAATGACAACAGAGAAAAATGCTTAATATAAGAAGGTATGAGTCAAATCATCATTTCTGTGGAGCTGACACATGCACATCAGCATTATTACATTTATTTATAATGTTGAATAATAATTAAAAAAAGAGATTCCAACAGTATTATTGTAGTAATGTAACACTTCTCCCTATAAATTATGCTTTAAACAGTGTGAGATACATAATATTAATGGCATCAAAACATGCTGTTGCTATGTTATGTTCAAGGACAAAATTAAGATAGATATCAAGGCAAAATCAGGAATTAACCATAAGTAAAACTAAGATGTTAATTAGTGGCATGATAAGCAAGGCAGCTGCTATCTTTTAATGATTGAGCTCTTATATGCCATGATGACTTCATAGTAGGACTAGGTAATTAGTGGTGAAACTTGATGCCACAGTAAGTAGTGTAAATTGAGCTGTTACAGTCAGAACTGTCAGGCTGTGTCTCAGGGGACCTGTGGTCAGCAGGACAAGGTTAGCAGAGGACACTGGGTTGTGGCAAATATATTACAGCGTGGTTTAGCATAAATGTAGACTGATAAGAGAAGGATACTGTAAGTGATAAAATATTCAGAACTGTTTTATGTTCACATTATCACAGTGACTTCCCTCCTCCAACTTGAGTGAATTTACAGTATTTTTTGGTGTGTTGCAGATTGCCAGAGCCTGTGTGATTTTCAATGTGGATGAGATCGTCATATTTGATGAGTCTGGCTCAACACAGCCGTAAGTCTGATTTTCCCTACATTATATGCTATATACATTATGTTCTGATACAGTTAGGCATTATTTCAAAATAGATAATCGTACCTTTCACACCCAAATGTAGCATGGGGCTTTACTCTACACCAGAGGTGTTTGAAAATGAGCCTTTTAGTGCTACTTGCAGAAGAGATTAGCTATGTTAGCTATAACATGTCTGCAGAAAAATTGATCTTTGAGATTTGAAGTTATTTCTACAGCAATGTATCTAACAAAATTGGCCTGTCATAATCCCAATTGCTGCCAGGGGTATCTTTTGAAAAGATAGATGGATGGATGGATTTGTAGATTATTCCCTGCTTGGTTATTTTTGTCTGATTGTTGGAATGGCCACAGGCTCAGGAGGATAATATTACAGTGCAGTATGATGAATGCCTGTGGGTGTAATTGTGAAGAAACATGTATCTGATTATAGTATGTGAGTTCTGGAGATTGGATAAGGTCAGCACAAGCATGCGTTTTGTATGCACAGACTGTGCTGTAAAGTTTCATATGTATGCTGGTAGCCTTTCAAAATTCTTCACAAGAAGTGGTTAATGTATGCTACTCCCTTGGAGCCATTGAACATGGGGAAATATACCATTTACTACACAATTGTGACATTTCTGGGAGAGATGGACAAAATGGTGCCATTCACGGTGTCTGTATCACGTTGTCACAGTTCTGCATACTGCCTTTTGGCAAGTAGTGTGGAAAGAGTGCAAAGAAATACAAACTTGTCTAAAATTAAACAGCTATCATTGGTATTTTTTCTAAGTACTGCTGGGACACTTCAATGTTGACATTTCTACCTTTTGTCAATAATCACCATAGCCTAGTTTCAAAACAATTTTATCCCCATCGAGGGATGATTTAAAAATAATTTACATGGAAGGCCCTTCAGCACTAAGGACAGGGTAATGTGCTGTTCATAATGAGGTGTACGTGGTTTTCCACACAGGAGCACAGAGGGAACGTTCACAGGTGTGGGTAAGAAGGGAAATGCCAACGTGCAGATAGCCAGGATACTGCAGTATCTGGAGTGTCCACAGTACTTAAGGAAAGTCTTCTTCCCCAAGCATCAGGACCTGCAGTATGCTGGTATGGCTGAAAATTTATCTTAATTCTTATCTTATCTTTATTGAAGATATATTTCACTAGAATGTTCATCCTCAGAAATTATAGTATCAGTATAACAATGAACTGTTTGGAAGTACATTTTATGCACCTTTGCAAGTAACTACATTTTTTCAACACAAAAAATTATTTCTTGTAGCTCTAGTTATAAGAATTATTATTTTTAGGGACAAGAGCCCAGTAAATAAAATGTATTGTATTACATATAATTGTTATTTAGGCCACACCAATTTAATTTGTTGGTTCTCGGATTCGCCTCTTCATTTTTTTCTGATTTGCAAAAAAAAAAAAATTTGATTCTGGTCCTGAATCAACTGAAAAATGCTCATGTTTTGCCCCCAACAGTTGAGGAAAGTCCTGTTCTTCCTAGTTGTTACAGTTTTCCCATCTATCATTGCAGTGGTTTGATTAAAAGTTCAAAATTCAATGTTTAAATTTTAACCCAGCCTTTTGTGTTGACTTCATGGCTCATTTTGTAGCATTTAAGCCTATAATAGGATGCCTAGACCTGTTTTTATTTTAATTTTTTTTCGCCCTGTCGCTTCATATTTTTTCTGGAAAAATCCGAGAACCAACAAATTAAATTGGTGTGGCCTTAGTACATCAAACATTTTTGTTTTGATGGTGTATTTTTTCTCAGATACATGCCTTGTATGAAGTGGAGGGACAACAGACAATAAATCAGATAGTGAGTTTACCAGTGCCTTCTAATATTCCTGACTTTCTCTCCCCCCCCCCAGGCTTACTGAACCCGCTGGACTGTCCCCACCATGTGCGTGAACATGAGCTGAGTGAGTACAGGGAGGGTGTGGTGTTAGACAGACCCACCAAGGAGGGGAAGGGATCCTTCGTCAATGTGGGCATGAGAAGGGTAAGTCTAACTGAACAAAATAAATAAATCTGTGTGATCTTGAAACTGCTTCTCCGTACTTTGTAGTGCACTAGTAATTCAGCATACTGTTATTCACAATTTTTTGTGGTACTTTTATGTTCATGGTTTTTGCAGTCACTTCTGTACCGCAAAGTATCATTGCCCTCAACAAATAATTCATTCACTTTCTTTTTTCTGCACCTGCCACTACCACTAACATATAGTTCCACCAGTCCTGCATGTCCATTTTTCTCAGACTGCGACCTTGTGCTTTCTTGAACATAAAGGATTTTCTCACTGGTAATTCAGCATGTTAAAGACAGATTTAAATCAGAAATCTATCTTTTGATGAGTCATATTTTATGTGTGTCTATAGACTTTCGTATGTCGTGTTTCTTTTTTCCTTGGCAGGAGGTTAGAATAGACAAGGTTCTCCAGCCAGGCCTGAGAGTGACAGTCCAGCTGGACGAGCCTGGGAACACAGTCTCCCGAGTGCTGACAGGGAAGGTGGTGTCTCCATCTGTCCCCAGGACTGAGGCAGGGCTGTACTGGGGCTACACCGTGCGGCTGGCACCCAGTCTAGGGGCCGTGTTCACAGAGAGTCCCTTCAAGGGAGGGTACGACTTAACCATCGGGACGTCAGAGAGAGGGGAGTCCACAGATGATGTCTTCTTGCCATCATTTAGGTAAGAGGCTGTGTACATGTATATGCTGGTTGCTTCATTATCCATATGCATGTGTATTTTTTAGCTATGAAAATCAAAGGCTATGGCAAGTATTAGAGTGAGAAATGTACAAAATTTCTCCCCTACTTGAACCTGAACACAGAAATGGTCAGGTCATGATTTTGTAGTACAGAAATGATTAGCCTCTGCATGTTGCTCAGTTGATAACTGCAGGTTACTGTGTACCCAATGTGTAAGTATACCAGTTTCACGGTTAACCTGCATGGAAATATGTATTTTCTTCCTGCAGTCACCTTCTGATAGTGTTTGGAGGCCTGCGAGGTCTGGAGTACAGTGTGGAGTGTGATGAAGCACTGGACATTGCCGATGCCCGGGTCATGTTTCACTACTATCTCAACACCTGTCCCACACAGGGCAGCCGGACCATCAGGACGGAGGTAGGGAACTCTGCAGCAGTGCCATTCATTTGTATTGTATTATTTCTGTAGGTAATTAAGGGGCTGTACAATTTATTGCGGGGTGAAGGGCATAGTTGGTGCCCAGAGGTTCATGCTAAGATGGATCTCCCCCAAGACAAACATTATTTTAATGGCCCTCCCTGAGGCCAAAATTATTTGTTGTCTGTGCTATCCTGTGGCCATATTTGGTGCTAATGTATTCTAGATTGAAATTTAGATGGGAAAAGTTAGGGCATTTTTCTTGTGAGAAAAAACTGATATGCACAGATTAGATTTTGTTTGTTGCGAAGAAAGTTGTGTTTGTATCATAGCACTAATTTAGGAGTCATGTACTTGTTCTCTGTATAAGTAGAATCATTTTGTTATGTTCAACTGCAGCTCATCCACATGCATGTTGCTGTTTGACATGTTTCAGGAGGCAATTCTCATCAGCTTATCAGGCCTGAGACCCAAGATTCACGAAGCCCTTTTCCGGACCAACACTTTGGACAGCCTCAGAAGTATGAAGAAGTAATCAACAGGCATTTTAAGGAGAAAGCGATGGGCAGTCTGTGACAGGCAACACTTCTTCACATCTGGAACTCTGAAGAACATCTGGACGTCTTGAAATCTTTGGAATGAGAATCAAGTTGCTGGGCAGAAGAAAAAAAAAACTCATGAAAGATGTACAGGAATGAAGGAGGAAGTTTTACCTTTATGACTGATGACTTTTTTGTGATAACTGCAACAATACTGTTTTTGTGCCTCCGTGACAGTCTCTTTTTGCTCCAAGATGTATGGATACTGAACAAGTAATCAGTGCAACAAAAATGGATTTAATAGAGGGTTAGATGTTTATCATAATGATATTAATCCCTCTAATATGATATGATAATCACACCATAGGCACAAAAGTATAGCTTTCTGTTGTACATGTTGTGTGTTGTCAATTAAACTCCTTGTTGTCAATGAGACTGAATGCAAATTTTTGCCTTACTTATGTCTTGTTGCACAGGATACCTAGTTTACATTGACTGCAAAATATATATATCTACGGCAATACTGTTTATTTACTTGTGGAATGTGTGGTAAATGTGACTTGATGATCAATTACTGTCTATCTACTTTGTTATGGTTACCACATTCTAAGGGAAATGAAAGCAATTGGATACTTGGTTTTCTGGGAGTTGAAAAAAAATCATAACGTTACACTTGCCAAAACTGCTTTTAACTTTCCAATCCTTGCATATAAGCATGGATTTGTGCCATTAAAGATGACACTGCCTTTTTTATTTAACAAGCTGTGATAGTCTATTTACACTTAAGTCTGAGGTGGAATGCCATTTCAATAAATTGAAAACTGGTTGACCTTTATGTGTCTGTCTTGCATGAGTTTGTGTGTTTTGATTGATTGATTGATTGATTGATTGATTGTCCAGAAGACCACCTGTTCACATGGGTAAGATGTTATGTATGTGTTCCACAAATAGTCTTCTTGAGTAGGTTTGACTGTATATGCAAGTAACTGTTCTGATTACATGACGTATGTATGTTGCATCCCATCTCTTCTATCATCATCTACTTTTTCTGCTCCTACAATCTCTTTACCTCATCAATATATGACTGACCTTGCATCTTATTGTTAGTTCCCTGATAAATGACTCTCTTTCCATGGGGCATTATGTGTTCACCAGAAATTAATGAAAGAACCCATACTCAGTAACATTGATCATTGGGAGCACAGAACTACTGCTGTAGTTTGTATAAAGCTAAAAAAAATGGATTGGAGGAAGAGGTATTTATTTTATCAAGGAAACACTGTCAGGGAAACAAAGTCAGCACCAAGGACAGGGAAACGCAGTTAGCACCAAGGACAGGGAAACAGTCAACACAAGGAAACAGAGTCAGGGAAACCCATTCAGCATCAGGATTATATATTTAGGTGTATGCTTCTTTATAAGCATATAAGTTTACATTATGACAACTTATTTTGCGTAAACTTAAAAACTTGTCCCATGGGATTCCCGTCGATCACTCGCTATTTTACGACAGTTGCCGTTTTGCGGCAGTAGTGTCCAAGATGGCGACGCCCATGTAAGCGGAAGTTGCTGCAGGCGTTTTTCGTTGCATGTTTAGACATTTCGCTGAAGCCAACAATGCTCCTGTCTTCGTGCATCAAGCTGTTCTTCGTCCTGAATATTTTCCTGACCGTGTCGTTGGCGTTCGAGCCTATAACAACGGGGCTAGCGGTCGGGGTCGGAGTTACAGCGTCTGCGCTCCTGGCTGGGTTCAACCACTTCAAATGTAACGTCGTTGAATGTTGTGACAGTAATTGGTTCATTCCCAACATAACAGGTACGAAATACGAATGTTCATGATAATTTCTCAATTTCAGATATAACTAATAAACACGTATGTCAGACTTAATTTCTTCACGTAAATCAAGCTAGGAGGTGCAAATGTTGCATAGAATAATAGAATTCCTTCATGACATATTTTGTTGACTGTTTTGTTTTTGTTTGTGGCAAAGGACTGCGTTCATCACTCCAAGACAAACTCCATGGACAACATTTAGTAGTGGATACCGTCGCCAAGGCTGTTAAGGGCCACATCCGCAACAAGAACCCCAGCAAGGCTCTGGTGCTGTCCTTCCATGGATGGACAGGTAAACAAACTTGAACTGTGTCATTTCTATATTGCTCTTGAAGTATTATATATGTAGTTAGTTGCACTAGTACTGTGCAAAACAGAAGGCTTTGTTTGTGTACACTAGTGTACTAACAAACTGACAGGTTATTTGAGACCAGTACAATAGCATGGCTAGAGCATGGAGGTACAAAGGGATGGTTAAAGAACTTTCTTCACATTTGTGAGGCCATGACCCCAGGACAGGTTCAAAAGTTAGTATATTTGTAAAATTGTTTCTTTCTCAGCTTTATACCTTTCAGAGAGAAAGACGTTTGTACTTTAACATATAATGATGTAAACTGGCAAGTCTTATTTCTTCTTCCTTTTATTTAGGTGGAGGGAAGAACTTTGTGAGTAAGATGATAGCTGAGAACCTGTTTGTGAAGGGGATGCAGAGCAGACATGTGCACCTGTTTGTGGCCACACTTCACTTCCCACACAAGGACAAGGTGGAGACCTACAAGGTAACATTACAGGTGTCTGTAGTCTGTAGTCATTAGTTAGTGTATGTCCAAAGTAAACAGAGTACTTCATGATGTCCTACATACAAGAAAAGGGAGGTAAAAGACTACCATTGAAAGCAAACTATGAAGATGTGAATTACAGAGTGACATGATGAACAATAAAGAACTAAGTGAGACCACAAATATGAAAGGTTAATGCTTCACTTTAGTTCCTATTGTAAAATCTCTTTTGATACCCACCTGTTCTAACAGGACCAGCTAAGAGAGTGGATCAAAGGGAACACCTCAGACTGTCCTCACTCCATCTTTGTGTTTGATGAGATGGACAAACTACCCGAGGGTCTACTGGACGCCATCAAACCTTACATCGACCACTATCCAGAGATCAATGGGGTGGACTACAGGAAAACCATCTTCATATTACTCAGGTACATTGTGCATGTATAATTATGTACAACATGAGATGTCACACCCATATACATGCTACAGCACCATACAAAGCCGCTAGATTGCCTATGATTGACCTTGACCATTGTTGTCTCAACTCCAACCTATGTACCAAATATCATGAAGATACATGCACTACACCCCAAGTTATAACTTTTGAAGACAAAAAAATAATAATAATAATAAAAAAATGATTTAAAAAATCACCAACCCCTACATACGTTGTACCTTAGACATAACATTTTTGACGAAAGTAATAACAGTACATGTACAGTATGCCATGCTATTCAGTTTACTTTGTCCTACACTGATTGTAACTTTAAGACTTGATGTGTCTTTTGTGCAGCAACACAGCAGGAAATAGTATCACACACAAGACGTTACAGCACTGGCACGAGGGGAGGAAGAGAGAGGAGATCTCACTAAAGGAGATGGACCAGCTCATTCTGAAAGGATCCTTCAATGAGAAAGGCAAGTATTGGTGCTGCTACAAACTAGTACCTGCATGTCTTTGGTAATACTTAAGTTGCCACTGGTACGAGACATGCAAATTAAAGTTTATAATACATGTAAAGCCAGAGAGATTTAATGACATGTTTTTGTACTACAGGAGGGCTGTGGCACAGCAGTCTGATAGAGAAGAACCTGATAGATGTGTTCATCCCATTTCTACCGCTGGAGAGACAGCATGTCAAACTGTGTATCAGGGATGACCTACAGGCTAAGGTAGGACCCACATGCTAACCAAGTTCTAACAAGATGCAAGATGTTTCTAGTTAGTAGAGTATTCATCAATCAGTGACTATTTTGGAAGGTAGAAAACACCTCCAAATTATTGGTGTCTACTGTTTCTACTAAATTCTAGTAACAAAACTTCATGTTTCTTTGGTGGAGAGTTTTTTGCCTTTGCCTACTCCTTGTGCGATCCATTGGATTTTGCTGAAACTGTACTGGAGGTACTTAGTCTCTAAGCAATTTCCTAGCTCAGAAGGAGACATATAGATCTTGGTCAGAAGCAGACATCTACATGTAGATCTTGGTCAGAAGCAGACATCTACATGTAGATCTTGGTCAGAAGCAGACATCTACATGTAGATCTTGGTGAGGCAACAGTATTATGCTATGCTCTCATCAGTTAATCCTTTAAGCAACTCCTTTTCCCCAGGACAAAGTTGACCATGGAAATTTTGTTACACATTGCTATATTTCACTACATCATGTTGTTAAATGTTTAAGCTAGAATACAATGTCATGTATAACCGTGTTTGTTATTCAGGGCCACCCCGTGACAGAAGATATAGTGACAAAGATTGCCGATGAGCTACAGTATTTCCCTGATAGCGAGCAGCTGTACTCCAAGTCTGGCTGTAAGAGGGTGTCCCAGAAAGTAGACCTCATCATGGAGGAAGTCTCACAGACCGTAGAGGAGATCAAGAGATGATACAACATTTATGTCCAGGAGAACTTGAAACTTGAATGCAGTTCACAATGATGCACCTGCAAACTGTTGTCCTTCTGCTACCTTCCTCAGAGCAGCCAGGGCTCAAAATACCACTTGCTTATGGATCATGGCAGAAATATGTATTTTGAGCCCTGGCAGTGCTGACTGATTTTACTTCCCACTGCTAGATGGTGCAGTAGTGCAGGGATGAAGTTTGTATCCTTTTTCATCACATTTGGGACAGTATTCTTTCTGCAACGCCACCTAGCAGTGGGAAGTTGTAAGACAGCATTGCTCAGTGAGGAACTTAAAAGAGCTACTAAAATGTTGGCATTGTGCAACAAAGAACTGTATTATCCATTTATGTACCAACCTGGTGAAACGACACTGTTTGACATGCTACTGTACATATGCAAGATAATTAAGTTATGATACATGTATATTGGCTGTGTGTACTGGCAGGTGGAGGATTATTTTTGATGTCAGACTTGAATCATGTATTCTTATGTGGTGGTGAGGGAATTAGAGCCTGAAGTGACAAGACAATTTGCTGGTATGGGAATTTAAGGGAGCTGACTGTGTTGCTTTTTGTACATGTAAGGGAAAAGGGGACAGCAATATTTGTGGAAATGTATTTTTGCACAGAATTGTAAAACAATTATGCACCAGATGGAAATGATAGTGAAAAATGTGTGATATTACAGGAAAAAATATGAGTAACATTATTGAAGATAGAGGTGGAAAGCCAACATTTGTGAGGAGAAGGTATTTGAAGCAAAAAGAGAAGCTGATTTAATCAAAGTAATGGACCATCAAAAGGTGGTGACAATGGCCAGGTAGTGCTTAATAATAAATGCAAAGGTACAGTCGTCACTAGCACAGATTTGGTTGGACTTACTGATGAGATTCCAATGGTGTTGAGTATCCAGCATTGTTTGCAATTGTAACATTATTCCAAATCACACCTCAACTTGGAGCTTCTTAAATCATTATGTCTTCATAACATACAATGTATGTCTGATGCATTTGCCCCTGACAGAACTGGGGACAGGGGTTGGCCAACAGGCTTGGGTATGACTGAAAACTGCTGGCCTTTGAGCTTGAATTTACATGGGAGTTATAGTGTGACCTCAGGGGAAATATACATGTATGTACACATAATTCAACTGATACTGTATACAACTTGGAAACAAGAACACAAAAGACAACATACATCACCAGCAAGGCATGTATTCTTTTGGAAACCTGATATTTATTTGTTGTCCAGGCTTGTGTCCTTGGTGAAATATCTGTCATACAAATGATTCCATGGAGCTTCTTATTCCTGAATGTACAACCCCCATTACACCCTTTTCTGTCAGCGAGAGTTAGAACTCTTCTTCTGCCTTACCAGAGCTGCCATGCAGAGCTACGTTTTGATATTGACATTAAATTGTGCTGTATTATACATAAATAAGCAGAACTAATTTATGAATCCAAAGTAAGTATTCAATTCTGTACATACAACTAGTCAACGGGTACAATATTTACATCAAAAATACATGGCAGAAGATTACTTGCAATAACGTATATCTTGACATCCTGCAATTGTCAAAATGACAATAAATCAAATCCTTTAAAGTTCCATTTTCAACATAGGATTCAGACATAAAGAACTGTGTAAAAAATCCGGAGGTTTCAGCGGAAAAATGCATACGTGAAAAGGAATTGTAACAATATTAGTTACATTTTATACAAACCTCGTATCTTACACGCACACACAAATTACGTGATGTGTGCAATATACAAGACCTCTGCATTCATATTGCCTTCATTTATCGCCCACTCCGAAGGGGGGCGCTCTTGCATTGCTGCTTTGGATTGTGCGAGTCTCATGAACAATGTTCGTCTACGCGTCTCCTACTCTCTTGTATTCATTTCCCGGCAATATATTGACAAAAAGGTGGTTACCGAATGTGTCTGTGATGTACTAGACCGTACGTCTTGAAAACGATAAGATAGACAAATTATGATCATACCGGATTATTATTTCATACATCACCGACCTCTTTTCATTGAGAAATTTACATAATGATAGCCATGACTCAGTCACTGTTGGAGTTAATATTCTCCGTTTAGTATGTACATATTAACGATCAAGTAAGTCTTTAATGTACAACTTTTTCTCTACAACCGACTGGCGCTCTGAGAACGGTTTGACCGGGTGTCGTCGAAGTCGTCGTCCACGAAGGATGTCTCCTGTGAGGACTGCCCGTCGTCCGTGGCGTCCACGTGCACCTGGACCAGCTCGTACCCCTCGGGAACCAGGACGGAGGTGGGCCGACTGCCCTGCCGGCTACACGTGGAGGACCGTCTGGAAAGGTAATACAAGTAAGTAATCGGGTCGTTTTGATGTTTTTTTAAAGATCGGCATTAGAATGTATCTGTGTACCCGGTGTAACACCAGTTTGGCAGACACGCAGCTCTGCGGCAGCTAGTTATATTACACCGAACGACTTGTTACACCTTGCCTTTGAACATCTAGCTCTAAACGTTATCTAAAGCTGTCAAGTGAGCATGCCCCCATTGCACTTGGAGGCAGAAAGTTCCACTCTTAGATACTTCTAGGAAAAAATTAGTTTTTGAACACTTCAATCCTTATTTGATAACTTCAAGGCATGACTATTTCTTGTTCTTTTTGAGCTGGTATTGTGTACTTTAATAGTAGCAATACTTAGCTATGCTTACACATTCAATTTTGTGAGAAGTACAGGACAGATAGTGGATTCACCTAATGTCTGCAAAAAACATCTTTTAAAGGGGATGTTCGAAAATTCTTACCTTATCGACCCCACTCCTGGCATCGCCCTGTTGGCTGTCGGTACCGCCATGAGCCTTGTACCCGGCTGCGGGGTGTACTGCACCCGTCGGAACCTAGGGGGCGCTATCGGCGGGGTCAGAATCATCCCGTCGTACGGATTCATGTAATTCCTGACGGGGATGTAGCGTACTTTGGAAGACATGCTCCTGTGGTGGATCGCAATAACGGTCCCATTACATCAATTATTGACAGAGACGTTTGGAAAACGAATATCTTAAGATATGAATAAAACAATTATCTGGATGGCCTCGTACGAGATAATGCTTCTTAAGGTTTTCCAATTTTCAGAACTTAAGTTATCTATAATATAAGCTTGGAGCTATAATTTCATGCTATAAGGGACTACATTAAAGTAGTGAATGCTATATATATATGCTACTTGAAACGTCTGGCAGTTTTCAAAACCTACCCAGTTGCTTGGGTAACAATTTTCATGTGTATCTCATTACCTGGATGTCTAACCTTCATCGATGTATAGTTATCTATATAGTATATGCCAATAAAAAAAATAGACATTACGGATAATGAAATGGGCCGTTGGCAGGCTGAATTTAGTACGTACCGCGACATTGAATATTGGAAATGCTCGAATTCACCTGTTAAAAGGAATCCCGGTAAAGTTAGGCCGTGGCCCGGGGTTGTGGAAGCGCGGCGGCAGAGTGGACGCCCCTGACGGGACCCTGCCGTTAGGGATGGGGCCGGGGTGACTCGGCGTGCCCGGGTTGGCAGGCTTCCCCGCCGGGTTACCGCTGTTCGTCACCGCTCTTGCTGCGGGAGAGTCCTGGTTATTTTTATTTCCTGTTTACGGTTTCAGCGCAGGCAGACAGAAACGAACACACGTGGTTAGTTTTAGAACAGAAAGTTTTAATACACACAGCACAAGCAAGAACAGACTTCAAAAGAAAGGTCTGGTTTTCTCGAGTGCGAAGTTTAATTACCAATAAAGTACTGTGCAGCAAATAAAATATAGGGAAGGTTGTTACTATAAGCTGTTATGTGCAAACAACGGAAGAACTAGCGAAAGACTAGCTTAAGAAAGACAGACGCACGTACAGACATGACCAACGTACCCCATTTTTTCAGCGCCGGGCCCGCTAGCACAGGACAGGGAAATGCAAGCAAGGTAAGCAGGCTAATTGCTGATATTGCATGTAATATGTCAAAGAGTTTTCAAAGGTTTTGACATATTTCATGCATTTCAGCAATTTACCAATGCTCACCACTACGAATGTCTATAATGCTAGACAAGCCGCTACAAACATGAAGCTGCGATGTTTTAAACAACTATATAGTACAGAACAACAGGAAATGCACGAACGCTTGACGCCGCTAGGTGCGTCATTATACTAAAATCAGACACTGCATCAAAGGTAATAAACTGGAAAACGTCTTTCTAGGACTACGCAGATGTCATCAAAGAAGGGTTCGTCTATAGTTGGGGCATTAATTGACTCACTCGCTTACGTACTTTACAGCTTACGTAGAGTCAATAAGCTACACAAGAGAAAACAAAGACATCTGGACTTGACAAGGCTGGGTGATAATTACCTCGACTCAACAAAGGAGTAAAGTATGTTTCAAAATCCTATTGGGACTGTCGGAATAGGACGGAGTAATGTCATTATTACACTAGAACTGAGGAAAATATTCTGTTTTAAACTCACCAGCCGACATTTCAAACACTTTTCTCTTTCCTTCTGTTCTTTCCTGTGAAGACAGAAACAAAACAGACCAAGACGTTTCATCAAGAAGCAAAGAATAGGAGTAAACAGGCGTTATTCTATTGAGAATATTCTACGAGCTCGCGTGTGTAAGTCTAAATTTGGATATATGGCGCATGTTTATCTATCGGTTTCTTTTCATTTCAGAAAGCCATTCACACACAGGCATATCTATATAGGCCAGTCCTTGGTGCTGAACACCATCCACGCAGGCATATAGGCCTGTCCTTGGTGCTGAACACCATCCACACACAGGCATATAGGCCTGTCCTTGGTGCTGAACACCATCCGCGCAGGCATATAGGTCTGTCCTTGGTGCTGAACACCATCCACACACAGGCATATACGCCTGTCCTTGGTGCTGAACACCATCCACACACAGACATATAGGCCTGTCCTTGGTGCTGAACACCATCCTCACACAGGCATATAGGCCTGTCCTTGGTACTGAACACCATCCACACACAGGCATATAGGCCTGTCCTTGGTGCTGAACACCATCCTCACACAGGCATATAGGCCTGTCCTTGGTACTGAACACCATCCACACAAAGGTATACAGGCAGATCAAATATTTTTGGGTGTACTCACATATTCCAACTGCATTCTAAGATCGTTGTTTGCCTCCTTGTACGCGTGAACCATCGACTGGAGGTAATAGATAGCCATGCTGTAAGAAAAAGATGCAGCTATGGATGAGAGATAAGATGTTACTGGAACCACTCTTTTCATCCATGTGTCTTTTCGAATTTGATGAAGAAACTCAGCTGAAACATCATATTTACAGAAAGTTTGTTCACTTTTAGGACAATTTGTATCTGTATGATTCCTCTATAACCCATACTTCCTGTCATAAACTAAAGAATGTATATGGTGAGAAAAATAACGAACGTAGGTGAGTAGAATAAAAGCGAAAAATGACAGAGCTTTCCTTTCCTTATCAAGTTAATACATGTAGAACACTGCCGATATCAGTTTTCGCGAGCAAACTACACCCTCGGTACATCTTGCATAAAAAATCAAACACCCGACCTCTTACGTATCTGGCAGCTCAAGAATTTGGCTCAACACCGGGCCACCCCTACTCTTATATATGGCTGTAAACTAGCATAGACAGAGATCCATTAACCCCATGACCCACATACAGCCACTTCCCCGTGAGTAGTCCGTACTTACACCAGCAGCATGATGACAGGAATGATGACTCCGGCGGTACTCATGTAGCTCAGCACGATGGTGAACCAGCCCGGGAAACTGTTCTTCACCGTCTCTGAGATGATGTCAAACATCCGCCGGCGACCACTTAGGAAGAAAAAAGAAATAAAAATCAAGCAGTTACTTCCTGTAAATTCAAATGACATACATGTCAGGCCTTGTAAAAGGGGCAGAAATTACGTAGTCCCTTTGAATGATTTGTGGCAGGAATCGACTGGTTTTATGTTAAAAGTATATCACTTACACAAATCAAACAAGTAAACAATATCATACATTGAAAGAAACATCCTTGTCCATTTTGCGTTTTTCACTACGTATCAAATGATAGCAATTTGTTATTTTCCTAATATAGTACACATGGCATACATGGCATCAAGGTGATTTCAAGATCGACTCCACATTTGGAGATAGCAATGAAATAACAATGGTGTCCGTCCGAAGCCATGTGAATGATTGAAGTCCCCATTTACCGAAAAACCATTCATTGTGAGCGCCCTCATTCTGTCACCCCGCACAAGGGCTCTAATGGTGTTTGGTTTGTTTTAAGAGGTACATGTTCATTTCAATTGCTTCTTCAGTCCTCTAATCAGGATACAAAGATTGATGAGAAATGGATTAGGGAGGGACTCTTGTTTGTGACCTGTAAGTGACAGTCAAAACGTCGCGCTGGTGCTGAACACCACCCTCAAACATGAATATTGGTCTGTCCTTGGTACTGAATGCCATCCACACACAGTCAAATAGGCATGTCCTTGGTGCTGAACACCATCCACACACAGACATATAGGTCTGTCCTTGGTGCTGAACACCATCAACACACAGGCAAACAGACCTGTCCTTGGTGCTGAACGCCATCCACGCACAGGCATTCAGGCCTGTCCTTGGTGCTGAACGCCATCCACGTACAGGTTTATAGGCCTGTCCTTGGTGCTGAACACAATCCCCACAGGCATATAAGCCTGTCCTTGGTGCTGAACGCCATCCACACACAGGCATATAGGTATGTCTTTGGTACGGAACACCATCTACACTCAGGCATATAGGTCTGTCCTTGGTGCTGAAAACCATCCACACACAGACATACACGCCTGTCCTTGGTGCTGAACACCATCCATAAAAATGTATAATGGCCTATCCTTGGTGCTGAACACCATCCACACACAGGCATACAGGCCTGTCCCTGGTGCACCATCCACACACGTGCACATCCGCCCACAGGCAAACACACCTGTTGGTGGTGCTGAACGCCATCCACTCACATATACTGGGCCACAGTTCCACAGTTCTATAGTACTAAGTTGACAGGGTTTACCTAAACGGTCCACAGTTCCTGGAAGGTTCTATAGGACTAAGTTGAGTTTACCTAAACGGCCCACAGTTCCTGGAAGGTTCTATAGACACCATGACGTAGCCCGTTGGGAGCATGCTGAGAAACAGCATGATGAGCAGCAGGACGAAGTAGAAGTTGTTGGACCTGGAGGCGCGGAAGACCCGCTGGTGAGGCGTGTTGCACATGATGACTGCCCAGCTCCGGAAGTACATCAGGGCGATCAACTTCAGGACGTTCAGCAGAGGCAGGCAGGGGGAGAAGAACGCGCCCATCCTGTGAGTACACATGGAGATAAATGTCCATAAATATCCATCAGGTTGGTAAGTCACTGAGTAAAGAGACTATTTTTACACAACCAAGTGTTTTATTCACATGCAGCCGACGTTTGGGTGACCGTCTGTCACCTTCCTCAAGGCAATTCTGACTGGTTCACATTGCACTTGGGGATGCATCTATAGCAGCGACACCTGTGCTGCAGTACAATGTGAACCAGCCAGAATTGCCCTGAGGAAGGTGACAGACGGTCACCCAAACGTCGGATGTGAATAAAACACTTGGTTGTGTAAAAAGGGTCTCTTTACTCATGGAGACAAATGGTTTATTTTGCATGTGTTAGCGACAACCCAAATAGGCGTTTTGAACCATTGACTGCGGTGTCAGAAGGCTAAACGTGCCACGTCTTCATCAGTTGACTTCAAACTGGCATTTTTCCATACGCAGTTGGTTTCAGGTCATGGAATATGATACTAAGACACGACCGGTGTCTTAACTTGAGGCCAAGACGTGGCCATGCACGCATGATTATCAACATTAAGCTCAGATAGGGCATACTAAAAGGCCGACCTTTGCCAGCTATATACAGCAAGCCGGCTTCGCACGCACTCTTTAGTTCACGGTCAAGTGTACAGTAACTTCACAACGGCACGTTTGGCTCTAGTGTCGTTATCCCAGATGGGGTAACATAATTCGGAAAAATATCACTTCTACTCATGCATGAAATCAGCAATACGTGAAGAGAGGCTGTCAAAAGTATTGCTATTCCAATACTGTTCAAAATAAGTCTGTGGGTACTTATAATTGAGTTGGCTGAGACACAATTGTGTATTTGCTATATATTTGCTATATGTTTATAAAAAATTATAACTTACCATATCATCCCTTGATTGTAAATTAGATGTAGGACGTTCTCTGCTACGCCAAACTCACCGTATCCGGGCTAAACAAGAGACAAAACTTTAATCATTACCGATAGTGAAAATAAAGAGACATGGGTTGCATGTCTTAATTATTTCCATGAAGAAAATCAAGGAAGGGTTGGGACAAACCAATCCGTCTAAGCGTCGTAAATAAAAGATGAAGTAACACTTACCGGGAGGGTCTGAAGGGGTTATTGATGAGGCTTAATACTCACTATTCCCCCTTCTAGATCCCAGCACCAACAGTAGTTAGCAAACCTCACAAACAGCCCCCGCAGGAAGTCGAAAATCAGGGTGGTGACTACCGTGGCGATCATGTCAAACACGGACAGCTTGAACATTTCCTGTGGGGGGAGGGGGCGCTCAAAGACAACGTTAGTTGAAACAGCCTCCGAAATGTTAAAACAATAATACTGTGAGATTTTTGCCATCAGCTCTTGAAGCAATTTCAAGAAGTTCAGAAATGCAATAATCTACAGAGCTTTCCTCTACTTACATGGGACAAGTGTAAGTTCTAAGAGAAAAAAAGTCTGCTGATCCCAAATAGCTAGCAACGCAAATCAGACTTTTTTGTTTACTCGTACTGCTAAAGAAACGTAAACTTTTGAGAAGGTCCTAGAAGGTCCTTGTCGCAATGGAATGTTATCTCTCTTTATGCACAGCTTATTGTTCTAAGGACTGTCTCCACTACAAGGAAACATCGAGTGTTCTTCTATAGCTCACAGGTTAATCTCTATCTCTCCCACCTGTCCGACGATAGTCTCCCAGCATTGCTCCTTCACACCAGCTCTCGCCGTCAGGACGTCCACGAGGTCCGTCTGGTTCTTGTTGGACAGGATGTCCGTGATGACGTCCTGGATGTGCTCGGCGACCGTGACGTTCTGCTGCGTGGTGAGCGAGACGTTCATGGAAACGTGCTGAAGGGTTTCCAGCGCCGTCCGGGCTTTCCTAGCTTCTTCTGCCTTTACATGGATAGTCACAGCAGGCATTGGTATCCTGGCGGCCGGCGGCGCTTCAGTCAAACCAGGCTGGTCAACTCGGAGGTTGGTAACACTTCACAGTGTGGTGATGCACTGACTGGTGGAGTGAAGCTGATACCATCCACATACATGCATACGGGCCTGTCCTTGGTGCTGAACTTATGATTTGTTCCTAGATGTACCTCTAGCACGTTGAGTTCATGCGTTTTTGGTATTCACATTTCATATGTTGCTGGAATGCTTAAAATGGGCATGGTTTTGTGTAGTGAATGAAATTTCGATCTGGATACGTGTATAAAACTTAAAAAAAATACATAGTGTAGTTTCACAGAATGCTTATTGTACAGCTGTTGCTTTCGATTGTAGTACCACACTATATTGAATCATGCGATTGAACTGGATACATTTGAATTAAAGTCAATATCAAGTTTTGTTTATTGCTTTTCCTCTCCGATGCCCAATGTATTTACTTTCTCCGCATTGGGCTTATGCTTCATTGATGCTTCATGTGCAGTGGAAATAATATAAACGACACGACAGAAGTCTGGATATGGTATGTAATCTCCGAGTGGACCAGACGCTGGACGAATGAATCGGCGTTGACCGTTAGGCTACCAATCTCTGCTCTTTACATGTAACAAATTAGGGCCGTCCAACATCATCAGAAAAATTATACATCTTTAGCATTACATTTCTTTTATCTTAGTGTAAGATTGTCTATTCTATTAACATGATAATGTCGGACGGTCCTTTGTTAGGCGAAGAGAATATGAAGAAAAGCCGGACATGCCAGATGCGTTTGAGCTGAGAACGAGCAAAGCAGCTTCTGCATGCTGTAATAAGCTGTGCAAAATAGCCGCCATGCTCCGCATACCTTGCCATGATATATTAGTCCTGGGATGCTACAGTACAGGCTATGGGCAAAAGAAGAAAGGACAAGCGAAAAATCTAACCAGCCTCTACATAGTTAAGCAAATGTACTGCTACTAGCAAGTGCATTGCTATTTCTATAATTACCGTAGGTACAGAGCAACAACAAAACTTCACGGGATTGGATAGCAAGTAACGCTAAATGAGTCTAAAGTAGGCCAAACGTCAATGCATTGTCACATGTAGGAGCTAGCAAACACCGTGGATATTGCATGCATTGATTGATAGAGTCTTACGCTAACAGACGACTACTACTTTGTGTTTAGCAAGCAGCAACGTTGCTAGAATGTAGGATTCAATGGTTAGGCAACATCAGAACATCAAAAGTTAACCGAATCAAACTCCATATTTACACATATCTGACCTGCAATGGACAAAGAAATAATATAAAATATTACAACGGTCTAAGATTACTACTACTATCCAGATGAAAAATGTACAAAAATTGTCAACAATAGATAAAGTTGCTCGTACTACAACCTACCAGGTTATTGACTTTCTTGAAGAGTGCGATCATCAGTGTGTACAGGTTACCGAGGTTGAGCACCATGATCCTAAGTGTAAAGAAGATAAATCGTTACTCCTGAGTTGGAAATCCATATACACGTATCCTTCAATCGGTCGAACGGAAATTAACTCTACGGACCCAGATCGGTACTTTACGTGACGTATTCGGATATAGGTTGTGGATAATCCCTGTAATCCTCACGAACTGACTTTTGTCACGTTTGCTTTTTTCTTTCTTACAATCTACTACAGCTAGCACGTTTGGGTGCAAGGCTTGGCTTGTGAAGTCTATACGTCAAGCTTGACGTCTGTACATGTTATCCTTGTACATCCTCCATAACTGATGTCGACAGTGGTTCTCGAAGGAAATACAGAAGGAACATTGATCCACAGACGACAGGCCAGGTCAATACTACACCATGTGAACTCATATCTTAGATGACTTGCTTTGCCATTTGCAATCCATCACTTGAGCTGCAGTAACAGGTACGGGATTAGCCTTACACTGTAGTCCTATTTATCACGGATAGCCCGACACCGTTGTGAACATTAGCATCATTTGTTATGACGGGGCCGAAGTGATAGGTTCGTTGTATGAAGCTTTTTTTTTACTTCCTATTACCAATATGGAGTTAAAATGCTATTTCGAAGAAAGCATCACCAGTCAACTATCTTTCAGCCTTCGTTCTTCAATATGTGTATTTTTTTAGAAATATACCATTCAGCCAGCCCCAAGTACTAGTAGCTGTAATTTTCCTATTGAAGGGAATAATCTTATGAAGGTTTCATTCACTTCTTTGAGGTAGAACTTCTGTTTTTTCTTTAGGCTGTACTTTCTAACTTGATTGCTCCCACGGGCGTGTATGTAGTGATACTGAGATCCTGAGATATGGTATCGGAGGCAGGCAGCTTAACAATCCTTCAGATTAAGTATCGATGACTCAACAAAGCCCCTCACGTTCATAAGGGTCAATATCTCCTCAAGCTTCCAAGGACATGATTAAGTCTCCAAGGTCACTGTTGTCGCCATGAAATAATCAATCAGGCGGAAAAACAGTGTTACAACTTTTCTCCCCAGCTACAATTTTGGGTGGCCCAAGAGTAGTTTGAATTATGCTCAATTCTATTTCACATAAAGATAGCGATGATACATGATTCATATGCTTTTTTGGCTTCAATTGCTATTACTACTATATTACTATTGTTACGTTATTAGCTATAGTAACGTTTTACCAGGTTTCAAAGATGAGTTGATGAACCCTATTCACAGTCGACGGATGTGACAGAATACAATTTTCTTACTCTCACTCTAAAGGGGGGCTGCACCAGAACAGCGATAATGAAATATCCCTCACGTTTTATATCGATATGTTTTATTTATACAGCATTTTTAAAAGCTCTTTATAGCCTGATTGTTAGGTATTAACAGACGATCAACAACTCCCAGCCTACCAAACACTCTCCTGGGATGTTAGATCTCCCCTCACCATATGGGCATAGCTTCAGATGAATGTACCTCACAGACAGCTCTAGTAAATCAGCTACTTTTAAAAGCAGTCTGGGCATTGAAGAAAGCATAAAGCTGCCAGAGATAGAAATATCACACTAGCATTAAGTAATTCGAGCATTATCTTTCAGGCTCAGACGACAGACTGATAGCACATTAGGTGATGAGTATTACTTTACGCAAGGGTGTCGCTTCGACGTTTCCATCAGTCTTGATACGGAGTGCGAACAGTTGAAGTTTGTTTTCTTGGAAACGAATGTGTTAAAGCTAGCCTCCTGTGCAGGCTTCCGGGCGGGTGGGAGTTTTAATACTGGGTTTTGTAGAATTTTTAACGCATTCTTTTGTCGGCCATCCTACAACCAGACGCCGTGGCGGGTACAGCACGTCGGCAGAACGTACTGCGCCTGCGCAGAACCCCGTATTTTCGCGTTTTTCGTTGGGTTTTTGGTCAACGTAGCATCAGAATTTTGCCTGTTGCAGAGGATATTCTTTCCGACATAACATTTGGAAACTACTGTCGAAATGCTAACCTTATATGAGCGAATACAACCTTATATGAGTCATTCTGCCGAAATGCTATGTGCAATACATTACGGGTTTCGCGCAGGTGCAGTACGTTCTGCCGACGTGCTGGCGGGTACAAACCTTCTCTGGGCGGCTGGTTGTAAGGCCGGCAAAAGAACGCGTTACAAATTCTACAACACGCAGTATCAAAACTCCCGCCCGCCCGGAGGCCTGCACAGGAGGCTATATTGGATCCATACCTCGCCAGCTGCCACCGTAACATGGTTCGTGGATGGTACTTCTCCATCTGACCAATCAGGTCGAAGAACACAGGGAAGACCATGGTGATGATTGACACCACCATGGACACCTGGGCGGGGAGAGAGACATCGTTATCGTGTGGGGTCAAGGTTTCTGTCAGAGTCATCGCGGCGTGTTATAGAAAAACATGACTGAGACATCTGTCATCAGAGTTCTGAGACTGTATGAACGAAGCTGCCATTTGCTACGCTACATCTTACTTTCTATGTAAAGACGAGGTACATGAATGTAAAATCTGCGTATATTTGGGAAATATGATGTCAATGTAAGTTGGATGCCATGTCGTATAATGTTGTCGAACCTCACTATCTTTAATATCACACTTTGAAACGTTTTCATGAAACATTTACACAGCTCCAGTAGTTAGTATTAACAGTGCACTATTTACGTGCAATATAATGACGCAATTTTCTGTGAAAAGAGATATAAGTAGATATTTGGCAGAGTTAATGAAGACGATACGATAGGCAAAGATTACATGATAGGGCTATCTGTAGCGAGAAGATGTCAGTAGTTCTCTCTGACCTCGTTCTGTTCCCACCATGACAGAGAGACGGGGTCCATCTTCTCGAACTGCTCGGACCTCTCCACCACCAGCTGGATCGCGTACCCGCTCCCGGCCAGCAGGGTGATGATCAGGAAGTTCGCCAGGATCCTCAGCAGGATCGAGATGTATCTACGGGAGATGTAGGAATGAGGACTGTCGGGCTCTGATGAACAAGATGTATTAAAGTGTCTATTATTCATTGAAAACGGACTTTTAACGTTTTACGATCAACTGTGTAGCTATGACAGATCAACTACAAAGGTTCCATTAAGATTCATCAAACTGAAATTAAAAATAGGGAAGTTGACAAACAAGACAAACTACCCATTGCAAATACTGTTGTTTAGTAAAGGTTCAACAAAAAGGTCTGAGTTAGTGTTTTTAAGCGTGTATTTTTAAGCGAATCTACCAGCATGTAAGTGTAAATGTAAACATTTGGTAAGTAGGTTTTATCACTCACTTTTCCTTCTTGCTGGTTATGAGATACGAAAAACGAGAGCACAGGTTAGTAGAGTTAGAGGTAGTTAGAACTAGTACTGATAAACAATACATGACATGTTATCATCTAGCTTACAAGATAAACCACATTATTGTTACATAGTAAATACAAAAAGATATGCTACGTTTACGGAATCTAAGGAAGTATATCTATACAGAACGTCAGTTTAAGGTCAGTTGGAAGTACCTTTTTTCAACTCGACACTTTTCCTCTTCTTCAATTATTGCTTCCTATAGGGAAAAGGGGAAAAGACATGTCAACAATTGCTACCCAGTTCACCTTGTTAAACAAATGAGTTAATGTACCAGTTCCTTACCCTGAGTCCGGTGGTTATTGCGGCAAACTTGTTGTCGGCCGTCTCTTGTTGGCCGATCAGGGAGTCCCACCCGCAGAAAACTTTCCAACAGAAGGTGAACTGGTCTTCGCCGGTAGACAGCTTGCTCTGACGAGAGTTGTCTGCCATTCTAGGAAGAAGAAACATGAAGAAGAAACAGATTTGTCGTTCAGAATCATAGCTTGGTAAACAATTTCTACAGGCCATTTACATCAGGGCCCATCACCCTTCACTCAACCGCGACGGGGGCCGACATCATCTACCTTTGACCCCGTGTTGACGTCACACTTCAGGAAGCCACATGACAAGCCTTACTGGGTCAGTCTACTGAGGAAGACCAGTGTGACTGGTCGAATGCTCTAGGTGAGAGAACATCTTTGTGTTGGATCTAAAGTTAAAACTATGTCTACAAGTGTTTTGCAGGCCCCAGTCCATTGGATTTTTTTCAGACCATGACAGACGATCTTTATGATTCAAATCAGGCGGCGAATCACGCACTGTTGGAATACCGTACATGAAAGATAGAGACGGTTCTCACTTTCTAAGAATGACTGCAAAACTGTAAACAAAACTTCCAATCCCGACCATGAAGTACGCCAGTGGTAGCTGGTACCCGCCTTTTCCTAAGTACCTCCGGTCGCTGTAGTATCCGTAGAACAACACGGAGTGCTTGAGGTAGCCCTGGAGAAAGGCAATATGCCAGTTGGTGCATTTGGAACTATGCTTTGTGACAACGCACCTGATCACAGGCCGCAATTAATGGTATCTTATTACAAAAGTTCTTTTAACAATGCAATCAAAGTCATAACAAAGGGTTGGTACGAGTATGACAAAATAAAGACTCACGCCGAAGTCCCAGACAGTAGCGATGTGCTGTGCCCTGTCCAACTCCGGCTCTGGGACGGTTTTTCTGGGTACGGAGCCGTACGGGAGGCCGACGATCATCTGTAGAAATGGCAGGAATTACAGTTTCAGGAATGCGGATTTTCAATCATGTAAAACGTCATGCTAGCTGATATGAGTTCACTGTGTTAATGGCACATAGAATGCCTTCTAAGTAATTGCCACATTGTTTATTGTTTATTTGCCCATATGTACAACAAAATACATAATCAGCCAAAGTTATTTCCGCCAAGAAGTTCCAATTCCCGTAGACACTACAGTTTAGGTTTACGCGTACTGCGCTTGTCTTCGACTTCATTTCTTCATAGCTCCCTTCAGGGACGAGCCATAAATTGAAAATCGCCGGTCCTCGTTACCTCTGAGTCTTTGTTAGTCCGTCTTTGGGGAATTTTGACTCAATCGTCGCTTCTGCTGATGAATCCTCTGCGGTTTGAACGATGTAAACTGAGAGCGCGTAAACTGCAATGTTAACACTTCGTGAATATACTCCACTGAACTTGAAAATTAGCTGTGTCCCCCGCCCCCTCTCTTATTTGTGCGACTTTGTAATGGGAATTGGACGTCCGCCAAGCGACGGTCACATAAGAATGAAAAAGGTGGAGATACAGTTGTAAGTTCTCGGCTATATTTTTCTTAATTTAAGACGCAATTCTAGGATGAGTTGTGGTCACTATCTGGTTCTCAAATATTCAATTTGGAAGAAGAAATATTGATTTTTCAGTACTTCAGTGCTTCCGCGGTGAACTATGTGTTTGGAACAATATGCATACTTTAAATTTTGCATGGCTGGAGTAAAGGTTCGTATTTCGTCAATGCCATACTCGTAAAATTGACCTATTCTCAGACTGGTCAGGGCATCATTTACTAGGTGTTACAGCACAAAAGGTTATTGTGTTGTGGGGTGATATAGTGACTTCGTTATGTACATAGGTTAGGGGTCCTTTATACAAAGCCACTTCAAAATTGAAATGGTGAATTTTACACTCACATTGTTGTGATCTATCGTGTATCACACTGTTGAAAGGTTTCGTCAAAAGCAGGTAGGAAAACAGTGCATTTTGTGGCAAAAAAAATTATAATCAGAGCATCAGCGCAACCGAACCTCCTTGCACAATCTAAATCCTTTCGCAATCTTGATATAACAAAAAGTCAATGAAATGACATCTATAAATTAATAATTTAAGTGATTGTTTACCAAATGGGTATAATCGTAAACTTTTCAAGTCAAAGGTCAACAAACATCTGTCCTCACTGTCTAGTTCAGTAGCCCAAAATATTGCACTTAAAAGCCTTGTTTTCTGGTGAATATGAAGTATATAAAAATGCCTTCATGTTCCTACATCTATCTCTTGTGATACATAGTCAGGTCTGTGTTATATGTTGCCGAGTGTTCCTATTGCTTTACAATTATCTGCACGGAGTATGCACGATTATTGAACAAACCGCTAATGTTGCATAAAGTCTCGATGATTCACTTCAGCAACTCCTTCCCTCTGATACAGAATACCTGAGTCTCCAGTTACAGGTTGTACGGTTTCCTGACAGAGACCATGCGTGTTTTCCCTGGGTGATTATGGCATGAATCTTCCTGGGATTATTAATGTCCACACGCGCCCCTGACCGCCGAGGCATGTTATCTACCTACACTCTGTATCCGCGGACGTGATAAATACATTCAATCACACGCTTTACGACTCCCTACGTGGTCGGGCACAGCACCTGCATCTGACATGATCATTTCGTCCACAAACGTACATATAGAGAGCGTGTTTCTTTGTAATAAATGTACAAATCTTCAGACACTGGGGTACCTGAGTCAGACAGTAATACGTGCTATATTGTGCTGTAAACTTCATAGAATATCGTGTGGATTTTGTCCCAGATTTTACAACAAAAAGTGATGTGCACTTCATAGACAGACAAAACTACTTCATATTCGTATTAAGTAATACGGACAAATCCACATTTTGTATTAGTTTGGACAAACAATCAACATCCATCTTACAGAATCATTCTTGTTTTCACACTTGTATATGCTGCAACGTGGTATTTGTAAACTCTACCTTTTTTGTGTGCGACTTGTGCGAGCTTAGCAAATGTGCACAGTAAATATCTTCATTTATCAATTTATACATAAACCTTGACATCATCGATAGAAAAGAAACTCTGATGGCTATTCACATTGTCTGAAGTTTTCCTCTAAGTCTGCCTTCGTTATCATGTCTATCGTCTCCTTGTCACATCAATGATTTAAGTTTATGAATAAGTCTTTTCTTGCCAAGAGCCTTCAAGACGCCATGGAAATGGCCTCTACTCAAACCCACCACACTGATGTATCCTCAAGGGTGTGAAACCCCCAAACTGTCGACGCTAAACTAATTAGTGCACTTGTTCCCTCCTGTCTTACGTTTCAGCCCCTCGGTAATCTGTCCGACGCAGCGCGAATGGATCATATTGTAGCCATTATTCGCGTCATATCACAATAGCAGGGACGTGGCGCCATAGGCGGGTTCCAATTTCATACCGCGGCTCTCCATTGGTGTAACGGGACCGTTTAAGTGAGATGAATCCGCAATCGTGACCGTTAATTTGTGCGTGAGATGGATGGTTATAGCCGGCCCTCTAACGGCGGGTGTCCTGAGCCATTTCACATCAATCTCTCCTGTAAAAACGTTTGCCGAGAGAGCACATCAGCCTAAAATGCACCAATAACAATGAAACATTCAACAATGATTAGCGATTCATTGGCGGTGGGTTGTACCACGGACGTAAACTGAAATAGAGCTTACGTAACGAACGGCCAAATACCTAATTCATCGCCCGACACCTGGGATAGAGAAGTGGGGGGGGGGGAGAGAAGTGGGGGGGGGCATTAGAACCACAGGAAAAGTTACGTTCAATTGGCCACAGCAACACTCCCCTGCTTGTATTGAAACTTACTACTTATATATAGAAACAGGCAGATACTATAACATAGCCCTTGACAAAAAGTCTTGTCCATTTTGTCCAAAGTAAAGTGAGGACAGGTTTGTAGGCTTGGAGAATAAGGATGACCTACCTCAGGGAGAACGACGAAGGACATGGTGACGATGGACAGGACGATGTTGATCCAGAACAACCAGCGGAGGAAGATGAAGTAGGAGGCGACAACAGAGCCGAAGTAACCTGTGGACACACATAGTCTTACTCGTATCAATGTAGCCAACACCAACTGCGTTGCAACTGGGTGCTAACTGTATGCTAAGGCATTTCTGAGATGTTAGACAACACATATTTTTACACAGAAAACGTAGTAAGGTATCTAAAGATGACATTCAATGAGGAAGCCTAAAGAAGCGGGCAGAATACTATGTTTTACCAATAGCCCTTCTTGCAAAACGTATAATATAGATGCTCATTGAACATGATGCTCAATTGTTTGAGGTCTAGATTTCGTTGCCTCAATGTGTACTATACACGGGCACATATGTCTTACTTTCACAGTTTGGATGCTATTCGAAACAGCCAACACATCTTCTTGGTCGATTCCAACACTTGACACAAGTCTCCCCTATAAACGAAATCCAAACCTAGTATCTTCTGCTTTTGTGTCCGATTCCATTGGTATTGGCAACCCCATATAACTTGTATTGGCTAACATCTAGGTTAGAGGAAATGGACTTCGTTTGCTGCTCTGTCTTACTGTTATCTTCACGTCCGTTTGTAGAGATGCCGATAAACTCAGGAAATACAATCTGTCAACTAAAGGAGACTCTGCCAAGCTATTGCGCGACTTAGCTTCGGGTATTGGGGTGGAATCTTCTTTACGATAAGTACATTTGATGTGATCTCCTTCATCCTTGTTTCCCTAGATGTCACATGGATTGGTATTGGAAGCTTTAAAGGCTTAACTCTCTTTAATTAGATTTGTTTTCAAGTCATGGGGCACAACGTGTACTATCTGAATCTCCAATTATACTAAATGGAAAAAAAGATACAAAAATACCATCATTGTCTAACAGGAACATACGCTTTTAAGTAATAGGTTTTTAAAAACTTGAAAGGGAAAATTCTAGTAAGCCTTTCCATATTTCTTTCTAAGAAAACAACTTGCCTGTCACCCTCCCCTCTCACAACCCAGTGCACACTACAATCGCTTTCCCTTCCACTTCTATTAATAACTGCAAAAATGATGGACTGTTTCCGTTCAGTCATTTAGCAATTGTCCTGATAGTCATCGTAAGAAATCACTCTGTCAAAACTGGAGAGACAACCCATCTGTTTTTAAGATGAATGCACAAAGAAGTACAGAAGTGCATTGCTCGATGAATGAATAAACGCCAAACTCATACCGGCTGCTAAGACTTTAAAACTTGAATTTATTTGAATTTACTAGTGGTGACCAACCTCTGCTATAGCTGTGAAAAGGTTATATCTCCTCTGGGGGGGACAATTTCCTACCATTTCTGTGAAGTGATATAGAAACTTTACGACAATGGTCCTTGTTTGCCAACTGTTAATTGCCAATTATGGCATATTCTCTCCCTTTGGGATGATTTTACGAAGGGCTGGTAGTAACATATCGTTCTGCAGAAAGTTTATCGTTACTGTGGTGCGTGTATTGAAAGAAGGGAGATTTTGTAGGAAAAAAATAGAGCCAGTGCAAGTATGTTATTCATAACGTCACACTCATGTGGCATGATAGGTTAAACCACCACAGAAACCTCTGTGATCCTCCTCTTGGCAAGTCAATCCTCCCCTGTACTAACCATATGTGTTTTACGCGTTTAGTACACCCTGGAGTGTAACAAAAAGTGCTACAGATTTGTCCTTTATAGTTGTGGTTTACAGCGGTCAGTTCGAGATCCCTCCAGTATTGATGCCCTGACGGTAAAACTGGAGAGGTGCGTGAGACCTCACCACCGTTACGACCTGGAGTCCTGACACCAATCTGCATAATTCATCCTGACTCCGGCCGGCATCGATCGACTGTGGCTCCAGTGTTTTATGTGGATTAGGGTTAGAAAAGGCCAAAATTGTGTGTGTGTAGTGGGTGACGAGCTACGTTCTTTATCAGTAATCATATCACACATTCTAGTATATGATCCTATGAACCTCATACGATCAAAAGGAACAGACATTGCTAATGTGTGTTCACTACAGATTAGCACAATAGATTTCAACAGGCTCAATGCTCTGTTCAAATGCAACATGTACAACTCTGCAGCTGGCAATGCAAAGATAGGTAAATACATAAAAGACTGTTTTGTTATTAGAAAAAATGCCGAAACTCCTGATTAGCCCTAATTGATTGTACACAGTATTATCTCTTGATGTTCAGTAATAATGATGTTAATTTTCATTCTATGCCCTTTCTTTCTGTACTATGTTCAGTAGTTGTTACCAGACATTGTACCTTGTACAATTGTCGTGCAATAAAGTTTTGTTCGATTCTATTCTATGTATATGTACTTACTTTCTATCATTTTGATCCGAGTTTCCCATGGTATGAAAAACGATGCAAAGTTGGCCAGCTCTCGCTTCACTTTCCTCCATATCTAGAATTGATAACAAACAATATTTTGATTGAAAAATTAATCTTTCCTTATGATATCTAGCAAAGGATGCACTTGTCTTTGTCTAGTGCTTTGTGATATGTATAATTCAAGTTTCTATCTTGCATATACAGGAACGAGTATGACATTATTGCGTTAAGTCATATTATTACTCTATACTTACCCTTTCTGTCGCTTCTTGGTAGCCCCTTTTCTTAGACAGTTTGCCCTCGTACCTAGATAGATAGTCTTGTGCCATCCTGCAACATAACATTTATAACAACATAACAAAAGATAACGTATCTAACTTGACTAATATGATATTATATAGTCATTCACACAACGCATTCGTCATTTATTGTATTGTTTCTTTCAGTGAATCAGTCCATGTATACAGAACTAATGAAACGAGATTTGTTCATGATCCCGAGTAAGAGAAATTGACCAGAGAGGTGGTGACACAACGATTTTTATTTCTAACAACTCTTCAAATGTGCCCCGTAGTTCAAGAAGTGACATCCCTCGATGTCCTGGAAGATCAGAAACAATCAGACAAGTGATTTGTCAGGCTAGAAGGGTAGGAACTTAAACTAGGTCAGGTCTTCAGATTGTAGAATGATTAAACTCAGGTAACGCCGAAGGGAACCATTGTGAAAACAAAAATCAATACAATGGAGACGGTTTGGGGGAAACATGAGCTAAACAAATACACAATTCATTAAACCTCATTCTCAATAATTAGTAGTACCCTATGGGCAATCTATTGATATTCGTTGCTTGTGACAATATTTTTGTGATCATAGAACGTACCTGGCAAATTCAGCGTCCTGATTATTGTTACCCAACTAGTAGGGTTAAAGAGTTCATGAACAACTATGAAAGGGGTGGTAGTGTCACGGAAATGTATGTGTCATTAGAAGACAGACGAAAAATGTCCAGACTATGTATGATGTACAAAATGACAACTGGTAGACGTACCAACTACTAAGTACCCAATACCAGCTCAGAAAAGAAATATTCATGCCTTCAAGTGTCAGAGTTATCAACCAACAACTGAGATGTTCAAAAACTCATTCTTCAGAGCGAAAAGAAAGTAGCCAGAAGAATGTTTGGGTTGATATGTACGTGCACGTGGTACCTTAGACAGCGGATTTTCTTCTTCATTCTCCACGGCTGTTTCCTTATGGAAGAGATGATCTCTTTCTGCCTCTCGATGTTTATCAGAATTTGCTCCTCGGTCGCGTCTTCATCGTCAGTAGGCATGAGGAAGTCATCGTCATCTCTGGAAGATACGTCAGAATGTGAAATTATCATAGACGTTGATCTGTGTCGGTAGTTCGATGCCGAACTTTATTCCAACATAAGCTTAAGGGTACACAAGAATCATATTTGCAACGACCACTGTCGCCTTCATCAGGATAGGAAATTACCAATCACTTGAAGTTCTTCCCACAGTATATGGTGTACAAGGCGGTGCAAATCTCCGTTTCTGTGGCCCCTTGGGCCACACAGTTGTGCAAGCACTACGGCGGGGGGAGAAGGGGAGTTAGGCTGTGGGTAGTGGTGTTTGTTTAACAACCATACACTATGTCATGTGTGCTTGGTATTAAGTAAATAAAATGAAAATACAATATGAACGTTACTTTTTGTGTGTAGCTGAGCTGTAGCTATGCTACTGGAAGAGACGGGAACTATACAAAATGAAACATATGAGTTCTATCTAAATGATAATCTTTAGTTTGTGTGCGACATGGTGTGGTGTGGCGTCATTATTTAAATTTAATGCAGTATGTTAGGTAAAACACAGGCAGTTCGAAAATATTTAACCCACACGAGGTGATTTTACTTGCTTCTCCTGTGAGCACATCAATTTTTGTTCTTATCAAGCGCAGAGAAGTAGCTATGGTTTAACAAACTCCATATAATGATATGCTATGGTGTGTTGTTGAAGTATTGAGAGTCGATTTGATGCTCAAGCATTCAAGACATGCACAGGAACCATTTCCTACAAAACCTAGCGTTACCTGCACATTTGGTGTCGTGTTCTTAATAAACCATACAGCCCATCTGCTGAACAAAGCATTAAATTAGACGCGAGTATGATCCGCCTACGCTTGTAGATGTTTACATCAGTGTACGGAAGTTCTGTTCTTGGTGTATCTTTCTGTATGTATGTCTCTCTGTTTGTTTGTTTGTTTGTTTGTATTTTCGTAGTCAATGGTCCCAGAAAAGGTTGTCTGCCAAAATCTTGTCTTCCTGCAATAATGTGCATGTCTGTTGCCTTCTGAGAGTCATTAGGCCTGGAAAATGCACAAACAGACTGATCAGGGAGAAATTCACAATAATGTTTAAAACAAGAAATTTCCCAAAATGCTACATATCTCACGGAGGAACGAGATCTTCGATTTCTTGTTTTAAGTTTGCCTCGTGGGAACTCTATTTCCTATGGAGACAACGCCGCGCATTAAGGAGAGACCTGTGGAATCCGCCCATTATCCCATCATTTGTCGCTTTGCAATCTTTGTATAAATTGGATTCCGCCGCGCTTGGGCGACATAGCAACAAATTCAGGGCAGACCCTACACTGGCGACTTCAGGGTCTGCCGAGCTTTATCAGCGCGTCTGGGAGTACTTCCGAAAAGCATGTTTTGTGCCAGAGCATCATGCCGATTTGTTTTGTACAAAATAGCAAGTTTTTGGTGCCTAAAAATAACATCTCAAGACAGAAAAATCGATATGTTGTGACGTATCACACGACACTGCATGTACGGAAGGTGATACCAATTAACACCATACAGGACACTAGGAAACTGATAAAATACATGTACCCGATTACTGCATCTAAATATGAGACTTAAACTTAACAAAATCATACTCTTCACCATGTTACCTTCTTTATATTGCGTACAGTATTGTTCAGTTATCATCCCATTGTTGCACAGAAGATGGTTCATAACCAGTCCAGCAACACAAACATCAGCACCTTGGCCAGAACCATTACTGAACTAAGAGCGACGCCATAGATCTACATAACGTATACTAGTATAACGTTCGTCACATTTCAGACACGTAGTTACCACCAGACCTTTGCCACCGCTGTGACCGCTCTAGACCTCGGAAGGTATCCTGTTAGTTCTCTAAAGAAACATACAGATCAGTATTGATGGGGCTATATTTAGTCCACTGGTAGCTTATTTATCCATCTGTTTATTCACTAAGTCGTTTTATGTATCTACTTATGATAGTCATGGGATTCATGGATAATATCTCACGTTACGGGGTCAATCTAACCTATCGTTCCGCTAACCAACAGCTAGAAGACATATGCATTATCTTTATAAGTAGATGTTAGAAATCCTAAGTGCTGATATGTGATTATTAAGCGATCTTATTTTTCGGTCTACTTAAGTATTTCAAGGTGAGTTGATATTCTTCGGGCATAGCTACCGTCTTGAGATTGCCGGGAGGCCTTGACAGGTGTGTTTTCTTTATCTCTCCCCTGATGAAACGTGAAGTCCACGAACAAAAGACAGCAGCGACAATTAATGAGCCGGATTAAACAGCTTGCCTGTTACAGGCATCATTTGACTTGAAAAGCACTAAAAATCCCAGCCAAGCTGTTCCAACAGGATTTCATTAGCTGGGACTTTGCAAGGCGCATCAGGGTTTCCGGGTGTAGAATTTCATCCTGAAAGATCCGACCTAATTCGGCCTATCTGTGCTACATTATACATTCTGTAGGGGATCGATGCCTTAAGTTTCAACCATCTGTTCGATGTGGCGCCAAGGGCACGGCTTTCTTTATGATGACAAGTTGTATCGTTTGACAGATTATAGTTCATATGGGCCATGATGATAGCTCTATTCTTTGCGGTGCTATAGAATTATTATGCATATTCAGATCTAACACGGGACATCTGAATCTACTGCAAACGTTCTGTTTAAATGCTTCCAAAACTGCACAACAAAATGCGACCAAACGTATTCTTACCACCCGTGGAAGAGTTATGTGCCTTATTTCCTTCAACGTAAAACAGGAAGCGTTTGGAGAAATAGGCAAACGAACGGAGAACGTGCGAGTTGCCACGGGGATATCAATTATCTTTTATACCACTCTCCTATAACTGTCTGGTATATCAGTCCGATTCCAGCGTATGGTAGATATAAAAGAATTCCATAAAAATGCCGATTGTCAATTTTGATGACATTGAAAGCGTACAGACAATGGAAAATCGCAATAAAAAGGAAATAAAATTTTTGCACTGCATTGTACTGCATTGCATTGAGTTGTGATAGAACCCCATAAAGACAACTGTTTCGGCGAGTCCATTCACAGTTGATTAATGCCCGTAGTAAGGATGTTTACACAAGAGGATCGGGTTCAAAGCACCAGCCATGGTGCTGAAAGATTTGTAGCTCTGCAAAAATCATAAAAAGCAGCGTACCTGACGTTGTCGTCATTGCCGAACTTTCTCCGCAGATATTCCAGGTTCTCCCGCCGGCATGCCCGGGCTGACATCGCCTCCTGCCCGGGGTACTTGTGGTCTAAGGTCCGCACGTTCATCCCCAGTCCGTACAGAACAGGCATTTTCCCCAACTTCCTATCTCACCAACGATTCAGACGGAAAACATAGAGCACTGCGGCTTGAAGCGGGTCTTCCAGTCTCCAAAACTGTGTCGCGCCTCCTGAAAACCGAAGATCCCCGCTGCTAATGATCAATCAGGACGGAGTAAAGCAGGGCGACAAGCCCGAGCGAAGACCAAGTACGGGTGTCTTCACGCTATCGGAGTCTGCGGCAGAACCAGTCGGCTCGAAACCAATGGAATCGCAATCCAGACTTGTGCAGCTCGCTTGAACAAGACGGATGGGGATAATCCATCTATTGACATAAGGAGGGTGTCTGGGCTACATTCGGGGAAACTCACCACCCTAGGAGTCATCCATCCATTAGACACCACCGTATCTTCAACATATACCCCAGGTATTTGACCCAAAACGTTGGTTGCACTCCAAACGTTGAAAAATATGTTTTTAATCTCGTTTTGCAAAGATTGAAAGTTTGCAGTTTCGCAAAGTGCGGCATTACACTTTATGGCCATAATCACGGGGTATATTGGAGGTCGTATTTCCCTCTTTATATAGCGGTGTAATAGGCTTTTATAGCAGGCTTAGGTGGCACAAGTGGGAATATATATTCCAGACTAAATTGCAAACCATTAACCCAGGTATTGTTATCCCCATTCAATTTTTATAATAATTTACAGCATTACTTCCATTTTAACTTACGAAAACTGCACAGGGTCAAGTGGGTATGTTCAAATGTCACGTTAACGACATACCAAGAAAATGGCAAAAAGGTATTGGCGTACAATGTTGTCTTTAATTGTCAGTTGGAGTTGTTTTTTCTTTGACAGTTGCTGAATTGACAATAATGACAGAGACTGAGAAAGAACCATAGTTTGTATGAAATTAATGGTGAAATAAATAATAACTAAAATAATGAAATTCTATCAAAACTCGTTTTATCAAATGACCGTATCGCAAAAGACCTTTACACATATACGCTGGGGTGTGGTAGCTCAGGATAAAACTGACAACACTACCGCGTTCACATTGATTTTGTATCGTGAAATATGTCGGATATTAAAACGCCTCCTTGCGATCATTATTGCAATGCAGCCCCCAATGCAGTTTTGTGAAGAAACGCCGTGGCTACACGTCACAGCTTACTTGTTCTAAAGACCAAACAAAACAACAAAATGCAATAAATAGATATCTTAAAAGCCAAATATGTATTCCTCGTCCGGCATTTACCAAAAATGTCTCGTTGCTCTTATCAGTTCCATACCTCTGTCTATAGAATATCTGTTAGAAGTTGATGTTCTCCATCACACGTTATGTGTACTACCATATCTGGGAGCCAAAGGCCACCCCACCAAGATTGCGTCCCCTGATTGCTGTTTGGAATTCAATCATGTCGTTCATGTGGGTAGATGTAAATTGGAGTGTGTCCCTGGCAGGTCCTACTCTGTCAACTTGTCATTAACCTCTTCTGGGTTTACCATCAAACACCCGCCACCGAGACTACCCAATCAAACCGACTCGTACAATATTGTTATTGACCGATCCAACGACATGTTGAAGCATCTGGGGACAAATTGCAATCTTGGGGAAAACGTTAGATTGTAGTGGATCAGAATTGTCGTAGTGCATTGAGTTTGAAAATCAGTACAAAATGCTGTAAGAAATAAGATGTAACGAAATGTGCTTAATCCGTTCTGTCTTATATCAATTATTTACGCCTTCATTAAAAAATACATGTTGATGGAATGTATTTAAAGTCATCGTTTAAATGATTTGAGCATTAACATAGATCCAGTTTTGATCAATATATGTTTCAAATGGTAAAACAACGACGACATCTAGCGGTCGGACTACAAGAGGAAGTCCTGTTATCATCGGCACCTGATAGGTTGATGTAAAATGAGAAAGGTGACAGATTTGCAGAATCAATCTCAACTGACATTAGATAGCACATGATGTCATGATACTTGCACCACGGTGGCAAGGAAAAACGTTAATGGTGTTCGAATAAGCTTGCAATTGTGTCTACACAAACTGTTTTCACTAACGTTTACTGAAGCTCTTCTCTGCGATAAAGATGTTCAGGAGTTTACACCAACGTGCCTCTCTGTTCGTTTCTCTTCCCTAAATGAATATAGCATCACCAGGGACGTCATTAGACAGGGATCCATCAATGAGTCGGATTTGGGACGCCCCTTCGCAATATTACGTATTACGTGTTTTTACATTTTACCTGGAGCAATGGAGATTAATACTGGCATGGGCTGAGGTAAATCAATATACAGGGATTACTGGAGCAAGGCAAGACCTTATGTTTAACATACACTACTGTTCGCGTAGGGTCGGAGTCGCTACGGTCTCTGTCACTCAATCACAAACATATCTCTGGAGTAGTTATGAAAGTGGCATATTATGTCTTTTCTTACATGTTATTTCTTACATGTATGTGGCAAACACGCACGCACACACAGTCATTCTCTCTAACACACACGAGCATGCACATACACACACGCATACACACAACCACATACGTTGTGGATACCAGAACGGATGAAGTTACTTCATGCTCTAAATACTGCTTGATCACTTTTGTCTATTTACATGTAGATAGCTTGTCTTCGACAGATCCATTCATCACTAATTTGGACCAAACAATGGTTTGTAAACTAGTACTATAGTGTGGATCAAATTCTTTCATATATAGTATTACATACATATAACCAGCAGAACATGATACTTATCAGACCTACTAGCATAATACAGATATGACATGCGACAGAGGCCAAAAGTGAATAACAGTTTTCCAATTTCACGGAACATTAAGACATCTTTTGAGTTGCATTTGATCCTGTATGAAAACTCTAGATCTCCCTTTTTTTCATGGAAAGATATCTTGAAACTTAAACCGGTATTGTTTTCCTCCACGAGAACATGAAATAATTCTGAAGCAACCATATGTACTCACGAGTTTAGGTCGTTGCCTCCAAAGAGCTTCCTCCTGAAGTCTTCTCCAACTGATCGGCTCGACCACCTTCGTCCCTTCTTTTCGGGTCTACTTTTGCGGCCGCTTTCGCGGTCTTTGTCGACTCTGGAAGCTGCTTTTTGTTGCGGTTCCTTCCATTGCTGCTGCCTTCAGATTGCGCCATCGCGGACCCTTGGCCAGACGTAGACCCTACTCCGTCACTCTCAACGTCAAACCTGATCTCAAAACTTTCCGTGTCCACGGAGTCGCCATCTTTGGAGCTGGAGTCGTCCCTCTGTCCTACAGAAGAAGAAGAGGAGCGTAACCAGTACCGCTCGGGTGAGGAATCGTATCCCAGATTCTGCGACATCTCAGTCAACGCCACACACACACACAGACGGTGTAAAATGCTGATTAAGACTATTCTTAACTGCACTTGTCTCGAAAGTCTCGTAAGATGTTTTAGCACCGACCAGGCTGGACTGTTAACGCACTGTAGTTATGGGTTATTCTAACGAGAATGCACCTTCCACAGACACGGTCTACCAGAGGTGACGGACGCCCCAACAGGTCGGACAATCCCGCGGAAGCGACCCTCATTACCCCCGGTATTACACACCATGTAATAACGGAACATACACATCGATGGGGTCCCGATTGGCCGGCACGGGAAGTATGGATTTTTATGAAACACCTTTTGGTAAAAAGACTCAGCCCTACACAACCTCACGCCTCAGTTTACCCAATCGTGATTGTCATGACCAGGAGCAAACATACTCCAGGAAACAGTTCGTTTTTATCACACCGAACGAGCTTATGGGGAGTAATACAAAATTTTGTGTAATGGAGGTAGCTGTTCGGCACATTATACGGTAGTATACGCCAGGTTCAAATAGAAAATTTGAGTGCCCACCTAAGCATCATTGACAGCTATGTACATCACACGGACCGACAGCTTCATTACCTGTTTGCTGCGTGCAGAAATCACGAGTTGTTAAACTAGTGTCTTGAACTTGACATCCGTTACACTGTCTTGAGTAATCAGTTAGGTACATAGATTACTGCACTTAAGTACCGTGCTTATACAGATATATACTGTACAAAATATAGATATATATCTTCGAATAATAAAACACCTTTGTTCAAAGACACATTTCTATCTATATGAACTGTAGAAATACTGTAAATCTGTTCAAAGTAAACTCACCCATGTTCACCATCGGCATCATAAGCATCCGTGGATCAGGTTAAGTCATGTTTGAGAGGGCAAAATTCGATGAGTTGAACAAGTCTTCTCCAGTGTACGCTCTATGTTGCACTATGTCCGTTGAACAGGTTGGTATTACTTCATCGATGGCTGGATAAGGTAGTTATCATAAGTTGGGTTTCTTGTCCACTGGGAGAAAAGAGATACCATTGCTACGTTCATGTACTCCTTGGAATCCGGACGTTACTGTTGCAGTAGAACCAAAAGCATCAATGGAAGGTTGTATGTTTCGTAGATGTCTTGAAGCGATACCGTCCGGGCTATCAAATGGCGCTGGGCATCAGAGTGATTGGAGTGATTGAAAAAGTAGAGTGTTAGAATCAATCGATGCCTAAAGCACTGTGTATGTAAGTCAATCAGTTCATCACAAACAGTACTCAAATCTAACACATCAGCATGTACTGGCCGTACAGAGTAAGACCAGGTTAGCAGACGTCGGCCAGCCTGTTCATGAAATCGCTTGGTATTTTCAATCTGTAAATGATATCGATATCAAACATTGATGTCGTATTTATTATCATTAATGGGAACATCACACAGTATTATGTCCCATAGAATTTTCTTCACAACTCATTTTACTTACCCCTTCCCCACCCTACATACTGACCCACCTTTAGGCAATAAGGGCAGTTCAATTACTACCAGTACTTGGAGTACGTCGTAAAGTGTGTGTTTGGGATCTTGAGGCTCATCGTTTCGTAATGCCAGTCTCCGACCTGATTTATGTAGAGAAAACGTCATTAGCTTCAAATGGCATCGCCAGGATTAACATCA